CGACAGAGCAGTGAATGTGACAAGAGGAAAATGATACTTTCACTATAAAGGATAAATGGTCTGTTTATAAATTGAACCTTCTACAGTGTAGCTTCTTATACAAACTAATACCTGCCAGAGGCCCTGATTACTAACTGGAACAACAACAACAAAATTATATTTGTATAGCGCTTTTCACGTCGGGAGGACGTCCCAAGGCGCTGGACAGTCAGAGTTTCAGATCCAAGCTGGCAATCGGGATCAGGGAGGGTAGAGGCGGGGGGAGAATGTAGTAGATAGGTGTAGCAGGTTGCCTCTTAGAGTGAGGGAACAACAAATAGAGGAAAGAAATTCCACCTAGATCTACATTTTGTCTACGTAGCATATCAGAGCATCCAGAATTTGGAAAATTGTTGAATTCAGGCTTAACTTTGAAGTTTTACAGTCGTTAACTTTAACTCTGTGTTTCTTAACAGTAATTTACAAAGAAGCTGCTTCCAAACTGAGGCTGTATTTAAGCTATCTTTACATTTTCAGTGCTCTGAAATACTGTACAAATGGAGTAATAATAAATAATAATCCTTGCATTTGATTAAGCGCTTTTCACATCCTCTAGACGTCTCAAAGCGCTTTACAGATTATACTATAAAGTGAATTGACTGTATATTTTATGGGAGAAACACGGCAGCCAATTGTGCACAGCAGTGTCCCACAAACAGTCGTGGATTGAGTGACCAAATTATTATTGATTTTCTTCTTGAGGGATTATTGTCAGACATGTGGAGTAAGGAAACTTGCCCAAGATTTCGCTCTGCTGGGAATCGAACCCAACTATCTCGTTTGCGAGGGGTGTGCTCTAATCCCTGAGCTGCAGAACTTCTCTTGCTCTCCCTTAATGTTTTGATACAATTTACATAATTGTGCCTGGCAAACAACAAGAAAGAGTTAGAATTGAACAATCCAACTCTGGTTTACAGTTAAGAGCACTTAGAGTTAGGGTACTTGGCATAGGTTTCCTAATTGTAATCCGTTTGTTTGATACAATGGATTCTTCTGAGACTGAGATGTTAAACATAGTCTAAGTAACCATTCGTCATGTGCAAACCTGGATAATCTGAGTCAGGACTCTTTACTAACTACAACCATGTTTCACATGGTTCACTCGGAATATGAATGATTTGTAGCATGACCTTGCATTAGTTGTTTCACTGTAGAAGGACGCAACCTGTGATAGCTACTTATGTCATACCATTTTAGTTCCCAACACAATGTTCTGCCTGGATACAGTTAGAACTGGGGGTATAACGATCGCAAGCAATCCCAGATTCGATGACAGGATAAATAGTTTCTTTGATTAATTACTAACCAGATTTCTTTGTTCTTATTTTGACTGAGTAAACGGTCTGAGGATTTTCTTTACTGGAAGATAAACTGTAAGAGGATCAGAGGGGTAATGGCTCTGGGCTTTGTAAATGAAACTTGATCTGCTAAATTTCCATCATTCTATCCGTTAGCAGATTAGAAACTGTTCAGAGGTCAAGTGAAACTTCTTCACTTTAAGCGCTCTGAAACACCGCCCAGTGTGGAGCACTATATAAATGCAAGTGGTTGTTGTTGTTGTTGTGGCAAGGTTCAGTCAGTATTATAGACTGTTAGCAGGAGAGAGGTTAGAAGGAATTCCTTCGCTCCAAGGCATGTAACATCCCATGACCTTTAGTAATCCAAGCCAGATTTGGAGGCAAAGACACGTCCTCAACTCTAATTGGTCAGATGGTTCTTGGTTGGCAGTGCTATTGCAGTTATCCACCTTTTTAACATATGGCATATTTTTTCCGAATGTCTGCATCTGTCTGCTTTCTTTCTCTTTGACAGTGCTTATAGAATTTCACCCGTTACGGTTTTTCGTGGAAAATAAATATTTTCTTGGCTTCAGTGAGCTCTTACTTCAAGCAAATTGGTTGTCTCATGCCCCACCTTAAATTCCTGCACTGAGCTCAGGTCACTAAACATTAACACGTGGACAGGATTTCAAGCAATCAGGTTATTTAGAGCAATCAACTGAGAAAAATTCTTCAACACTTTCTCAGAGAAAATCCAAATAACAATTTATTCACAGGTGGGGGGTGGTGGAGGGGGGAGGAGGGAGGGATAATAGGCGGGAAAGGAATTTAAATTAATTACACTGATGAGCAGTTTAAGGATTTGTGGATTGGAATGATGCAAATGATAAAGTTATTAAATATTTGTAATATTTGAGGTTAAGCCATCTGTTCCTGGCACTTTGACCCCAATCACAGTTTAAAGCACACGTTGCATCAGTTCCATTCATTGCCATTCATTGAAAGTGTGTGATGTCAGGGGGAAGGGAAGAATGTTAAATGATTATGAAGTTTTAGAATACTACTTGCAGTAAAAGTGCCAATACCAACTCTGTGTGAATTAAGAGTTATTAAGTGAAGCTATCTTGGCAGTAGTTATTGGGATGTTACCAATTCCTCATTGGGATTGTTTTTTCTGGCACAGGTTATCATCCAATGCAATGAAAGAGGTTTTAATTACTTTTCCTTAATGGAGATAATCCATAGCTGTGCCTTGTACATGACAATAGCTCTGTTATCAGCCTTTAGCTGCAGTCTGTCTCACTGCCAGCTCGCTCCTGCTGAAATTATTTAGAAATTATGAATAGATTTTTGAAAAACATCTGATTTTCTAGATTTGCAAGCATGCAATGGTTAAAGGAAATTGCAATACATAATAAATACTCCTTGTATTTTATACAACTCTTTATCATGTTGTTGAGACATCTCAAAGCGTTTCACAGGATTTTACTGGGAGGTGTAGTGACTGAGTATTTGTAGGCAAAATTAAAGTGAAACCACCCTGTATTTTTTTTTAAAAAATGTCCATTTGAGAGCAAATTGCAAACTGTTAAACCACATTCCAATAAAACCAGGATTTATATTGTATTCACTGTGAGGTGCATTGCTTTTCCTTCAGGTGGTGCACTGAGAAGGTTGGGTTTACAGCCTGGCATAGTGATAGGCCTCTTGTCTCTGATCCAGGAGGTTATGGGTTCCAGCCCTACGTTGAGACTTACATAATCTAAGCTGACATGTTAATGCAGTGCTGGTCATGTCCTGCATAGTGCCATCCTTTGGATTTTCATGTGAATTACTTTGAGACTGCTCAACGTCATGATAAGGCACTGTAATTAAATGCAAGGATTATTATTTCTCTAGTGTGATTTCCCCCTTCCTAAAACAAATAGCTCATTGCAGAGAATTGAACAACAACAACCACAAGATTTCATTTATAGAGCGCCTTTCACGTCGGGAGAACGTCCCAAGGCGCTGAAACGTCGCTGTAGCAAATTTTTGATTAAATGAGCTAGGTTGCACTGCTAAGTGGTGGGAGGTTGTTCTGTAATCAGTAATGTTACTGTATTGCTTATTGCGTCGTTGTTAAAAATTAAGTTTATTTTTACTGAAAGATAAACTAAGACAAATAGGAAGAAATCATGGATAAGTTTGTGCTGAACCAGTAACTTGCTGTAGAGACCAGTTTGTGCTACTTTGGGCAGTCTTTGGAGCGAGCTAGTGTTCATGTTCCAGGAAATGAACCTGCCTGAGAAATTCCTCAACAAGGCAAGCACACATTAAATCCATTCAAATGCACACACACACATACACAAAAAAAAATTGGCTGTCAATGAACATAGCAGGAAAATTTTTAACCAAGTCATCTTGTGTTTTGCACTTTTTTTCTTTATCTTTTAAGATGCTCTTATGGGATTAAATAGCTGAGAGTCTTGAGATTTCTATTCTACAGCCAACTTGCAAGTATCACATGAAAGATTTTTGTCCTCCGCACTTAGCTTCTATCCAGGCACTCCATAAGGATTATAAGATGTGTTGCTCCATAATCTGCTCACCAAAGTTTATCTGAGAGACGAGCTCTGATCTCTTCTCTAAGCAAAGGGCAACAGTAAATGTGATGCCGGGTTTTAGTAAAATAGGTTAAGTAGTGGCACTTCTTGGTAATCTGTCAACCACTGAACCGTGCTGCCATCGACATTGCTGATGTACCTTGCTATTATCTGACTTGGAGTCCTAAGTAAAAATAATTGGTAATTTAGCAATTTCTGCTTAACTGAACATTTGATGAATAGGTATTTTTGAAATGCAAACTTTAAAAATGAAAACTTATCTTCACCAGTTCCACACTTGTTGCACAAATTCTGTGGATGAATGCAACACATCCTACGTTTATTGGATATCAACCTCCAGTCCATTTTAAGCCTTATGTTACTACTACTGTAATATTCCCCACAAAATATACAGTTAATTCACTTTACAGTATACTCTGTGACGCGCTTTGAGACATCTCAAAGTCAAGATATCAAATGCAAGGAATATTATTCCATTTATTTCATCTCAACAATGATTGTGTTAAAACAAAACCAGTTGGCCCAAGGTGGCAAGAATTTTACCCAGCATTGTGTGTAGATCAGGATTTTGCTTTGCTGTGTTATGTTTGGTCTGGAATCCCACGCAATGGATTGAGGAAGAAGTAGTTTAGTGTATTGGAATGCTACACTTATGCCAGGTACATGTATGGAGTCAGTTCTACTGGAAATGATTTAAACTGTACAGTTGCTGGGCATTTGTGTTCCAAAACATGCTTCGGTTTCATCTTCCGTCCTTACACAACAATCAATATTTGTTACTGTGAGTAGACGTGATGATCAGAGTGGATTTCTGAGAGATGTGACATCAGTTGAAGGATTTCATTGAGAGAGAGAGAGAAAGAGAGAGATGGACAAACCTATTAAATAAATAAACCTATTAAGGGATCTGATGGGAAGGTGGGATTAGAGGCTGCTATAGTATGTGGCACTGTAAAATGATGTATGGCGGAGCGAGCTCTATAGGTGACGTGACCTTTTCCTGATCTTAATTTCCTCTGCTCCTAACAGTGAACGTTTTGTCATTCACACTTTCACTCTCGATTCTATTTCATAGATATCATGTTAAATTTTCGGACAACGTACGTCAGCAAGTCTGGACAAGTTGTGTATGACCCTCGCTCCATCTGTGTGCACTATGTAACTACCTGGTTCTTTGTGGATCTTATAGCTGCACTTCCCTTTGATCTCCTCTACGCGTTCAATATCAATGTGGTAAGTATGTTTGATTTAGGCAATAAGCTTCAAGTCTCAGATAGCGCAATCACATTAACTGCAAACTTTTCCAAACCAAAGACTCTGATGGAGCCTTTTCTAGCTACTTCAGGTTAGGTACAGCACAGTCACTGTACGGTGAAGCCTCTGGTCTCCCCCCAAATGTGTCTTAACCTCAACCTCGGAAGTGAATGTCCACCTTCATCAGCATGAAACTCTTTGCTGTTTCCTACACCCATATTTATGGCCTCTCAGAGTGAGATTGCCAGTTTAATACTCAGGATCAATTCTATCCTTGAATTTAGCAGTAGAGTTGTAGCATTATCAATTCTCCTAACTGGACCCGCAATTGATGCACACAGCTTCTTTAAAGACTGTGTGTTGGAATGGATGCTTCCTACATCTCCAGATACACACAACACTTAAGCTATTACTGTAGCGTTACTTTGAAAGGCTTTCACATTTTGCTTTTAATCCTTTATTTTAAAGAGACTTAATTTATTTAACAAGCAAAACACTCTTTAAAACAACCCAAAGCAGGACAATTCACAATGATTGGAGCCAGTGCCAACCTACATGGAGGTCTCCTGCTGACTTCAATCTACTGCCCTGTTGCTAAACTAATGATGTCGCAGTAACACTGTTCTAATCGTTTTAAACAAGACCTCTCTGAAATTGCTGCTGCCTAATGTAAGTAAAGAATAAGCATTTTTAAAGATACGATCAATGTAAAGTCATTTCTTTAGCTTAACCCTCAGTAGTTTTTTTCTCACATGTAATAATCAGCTCTCACAACAATCCTGGGTGTAACCCAAGTCAAGACTTTTAAGCACAAGCATAACACTAAAATGCTCTAAATTCACTGGAACACTACAAGTCATTACATGGCACTCATAGAGTGCCACCATTACATGACAGGTCAAACTCACATACCTGCTGACTTGATACATCCTACTCCAATTGACTGAGGTTGGCAACTTAGTGAGGAAAGTCTAGCCCGGAGCTCCAGTAGAGAAATTTAACACTGGCAGGGCTTTGCTCACCTCTGCATTGATCCAGGAGGAAGTCTAGTCCTGGGTTGCTTCCATTTCACAAGTAGACACTTAGAGTGTAAAGGAGCCTGTATCTGTGTATGAATCCAAATTATTTTATCTACAATAAACACATTTAACAGCACTTCATTATTAAGGAAGGTATTTTCACACATTGCAAACATAGGAGACATTAATGCCATGTTTATGGACCCATTAACTTACAACAGACAGTTATACAGATTCTTCTAGGGGTTATGTTCCAGAATGCCTCCAGGAGTTGAATGTAGGTGTGAACAGATGGTTCTGAGTTTGTGCTGCAACATATCAACAATGAATGGAGGCGTCTAATGCTGCATTCAAACTCAGACTTTAGTCAGAGCTCCAACAGTCCTAAATTCATTGGCTTCACTGTGCTATAAACAAGGTGATGCCTGTTATAATAAATTAGCTATATCCACCTGTTGCAACTTTGGTTTTATTAGTATACATAAATATTACATTTCATACAGTCCCTTTCACATCGGGAGGACACCTCAAAGCTTTTCATAGGATAAAGTATGGTGACAGTGTATCTTGCAGGTGATTTGGATGTATTTTCTCACCATCTCTTGAACCGAGACTTCTTTCGACTTTCGAGAGAACCTGGCACAGCATAGTCAACGTTGCAGTTGATTTGCCAAATGTTATTGTCAGAAAACATAGCTTCGCTAGAGTAAAATGAATGTTACAGAACTGAGGAAAGCACAAGATAAAGACCACCGGACTCCATCTGGAAGATTCCTATTAAACAAATATAGTACACAATCTCTTTACTTGTTAGAGTGCGGAATGCCTTGCCGGATGCCGTGGTCGACACAAAATTCGTATTAGCTTTCGAAGAGGGAACCAGAAAGATATCTGAAAAGGAGTAATTTCCAGGGGTATGGCAGGTAAATGGGACTAGAAGAATTGCTCTTTCAAAGAGCGAGCACAGACGCAATGGGTCGAATAGCCTTCTTCTGTGCTAAGTTCCACGGTTCAAGTTCTTTGCAAAATAATTCCCTCGTAAATCTGCTAACCCAATCTGCCTTTACCTCTCTGTGCAAAGTATATAATTCTACCGTATAACAAACCTTTATTCTCTTGCCCAGTATTTCGGCGTTCACCTGCTGAAAACCGTCCGTTTGCTGCGTCTGCTCCGCCTGCTCCAGAAGCTGGACCGTTACTCACAGTACAGCGCCGTGGTCCTCACGCTACTTATGTCCATGTTTGCCTTGATAGCACACTGGATGGCCTGCATCTGGTACTTCATTGGACAGAAAGAGATTGAAGCTAATGACCTTACTACCTGGGAAATCGGTAAGCGATAAGAAACTATGGCAACTTTTTTGTTCGGTGATCTCGACCGCTTCAGGCACAGGTCGATGATATGATGAACCTTGGAGATTATCAGCAAAACAGAATTTGGTGGCTCAATTCTGAAAGTTCCTTTCACCCTCAGTTTTCTCTCTGTAACTCTATGCATTCAGTTTCAAGGCTGGAGTTCAGGGTTGAATTCAATCTAGCATTCAATTGTTTTTCCTCCTTACCTAGGATTACATAGGTCTATTCGAAAAGAGGAGGGAGTTTCTCCTAGTGTCCTGGCCATAATCCACCAATAAAATTGGTCATTCAGTCCATGACTCTTTGTGGAACATTGCTGTGTATAACTTGACTGCCGCATTTGCCCACAAAACAGTCACTGAACTTTATAGTGTATCTTGTGAAGCTCTTTGAGACATCCTCCTGATGTGAAATGCGCTGTACCAAATGTAAGAATTATTATTATTGTTATTGGTTCTTTTAAATGGTCTGTTATGAAGAATTATATCTTCTGTAGCTTTATGCTGTTAGCAGATAGTGTGTGTGTTCAGGTGTTGCATTTGCTCTGCACCTCCCTCTCAATGTTTTTATCAGTGTGGTGTTTAATGAGTAACGATTAGATTTATGGTCTATCCCACTCTATTCTTGGATATATACATAGATATTTATAAAGCAAGATCCTGTAATCCTGGTGCAGTTTAGTGGGCAATTATTGTCTTGGAATAAAAACAAGCACTGCCTCTGCTTGAGGGTTGAGGATTGCTGCAAATTTAAAGAGAATAAAATGAATAAAAGGTTGAAGAAATGTCAAAGAAAATTGGATGGTTCTATGAGATAAATTGATGTTCTGCTCCTGTCTGAAGTATTCATCATTGTATGTCTGGGTAGCACTCCCACTGAAGTCACTAAGAAAGGAGAGGGCAAACTGCTTTAGCTTTTTTTCTGAGATACTTTTAAATGCTTGGGTGGTTTCCCAGTTTGCGATCATTGGGTATCAGTTTTTATAGAACGTGAATTGTAATTGTTGTTAACAACAGGCTTTGAAATGTCATATTGTCTAGCCAGATTTTGTGTTTATTGTGCCTTTGGTTATCATAATCTGTGTTGAGAATTGTGAAAGGCCAATTACTCTTCCTCCCCAATAATGCTTCAGTAGAGATCAGCTAACTTAATAATAATAATAATAATAATAATAACAACATTCTTTGTATTTGATATTTTGATCGGGTTTACGGTTACCTTCCCCCTCCCTCTGCCCCTGGCTTGGTGTCAGACTGCGCCACTGTGAAGTTCTCTGGGATACTATCCCGTGCGAAGGGCGCAATATAAATGCAAGTTGCTGTTGTTAATCTGTAATGTGCAAATGCAATATTTTGCAAGGAGTCCAAAACCAAATTTGGCCAATTCGCAATTTCCAAACTGCCCTGTGTTCTTGGCATTTGCATCTTGATCAATATATAATCTTATAGGATACAATATATAGTTTGAGATATGACAAGTCAAGCAACTGCCAGGATGGTGAAAGGCGAACTGGAAGGATCTTGGTCTTTTTCACCTAACAAATTCTTACGTTCTTATGAGCTTACAATGGAACCTTACCCTCCCACCTGGTCTGTACTGGATAACAATCACTGTCGAGTTAAATCAGTTCAGGTTTGTAGATCCTCTTCTATAAATAAACACTAAAAGGAAATGGAGCATTATTATTAAAATTTCATCCAAAATAGGCAGAAAGAAAGCAAGTACAGTCATTTGCAACACGGCTTCTTGTGATGAATTACCTTAATTTATATTTCTGCGAAAAGATCAAATTGAATGGTTTGGTTTTTGTTGCTATTTTTAATAGCAGAAGGAAGTGCGAGTGATGCTTCATTACCTGTATCTCTGATGTTTCTGACTGCATTTTCAATATGCATCACTGAACATTAATGTTCACAAAGAATTCAAAACAATCTGTACATCCTAACCTGGTGTACACATATTTTAGATGTAATATTAGACATATGGGTTAATGTAACTTGATTAGTCATGATACTCTTGCTGAAAATTCAGCTTCTTGGTTTGACAAATCCTGTATGATCTGTTTTGTGGGTAAACAATACGGAGTGCTGTAGCATAGTGGTTAGCCCACTCACCTCGCTAGCGAGAGGACTTGGTTTTGATTCCCGGGCAGGGCGAAACCTTAACCAAGTTTCCTTACTCCACACACCTCGGTTTACCTAGCGCTGAGTAGAAACCCAGTTGTTAGTCAAGACTCAAAGCCAGTTGTAGAATTTAAGAATCCTTCAGATTGTCCTGGTTACATGTTGTTTTTACATGCAGATCGTGATGTTCTGTACTGTTCTACAACAGGACTCACAGTATTACACTAACAGCGATGGTCCCTTTAAAGCAAATCTATTCCAGTGATGTCTGAGTCAGGTAACGTTACTGCCTAGACGGAGCCATATCTAGCCAACTCGGAAGGTCCCAGGTTTGATCGCAGACCATACTGGGCCATGCTGGGTGAGCTCATGAGTGGAAGTGTAGACTGATGCAGATGTGGCCTTTCACGGAAAAGTGGGAAATTTTCCCTGATAATAATTGTTATTCCTTGCATTTGATGTAGTCACCTCATCGTCTCATTGAAATGTCTCAAAGAGCTTCACAGGATTTTTCACTGGACTTGACTCAGAAGCCACCAACTGAACCAAATATATTCAGAAGCAGCAGTAACCACACTCTGCTTCCTCAGTTTGAAAAGCCGGCTTCATTGGGATTTCAGCTGTACGTAACCCACCAATCTGGACATGGAGATTCTTGAAGTCCACACACCTCGTTGGTTTCAGAAATAATCCACAATGTGCTCAGTCCGTGTATTGTGTTGGTTAGTATTGCTGTCTTGTCTGTTTGTCAAGCACAGCTGTGACCAGACACAACCAAGACACGTTAAATCTCGCTCTGTATTGCTGTTTATTTCCAGGAGAAGCTATTAGCCTGGAGTCGAGAGTTGGTAACTACTAATTACAGAGCAGAGTGAGACGGAGTGGCATTATTCAGCACTGCTAAGCTGTCATTAAGATACCCACTGTTTCACGCTTCAAAAATAGACTGCTATAAAACCTATGTTCATATTCTACACTCCCTTTATTTGCCTCGATAGTGAAATTTAATTCCTTGTTAACAGATGCTTTTATTCCAACCACTACCGATTCATCTATTGAGGGCATGTTCACTTTGAGATCAGTCAGAATGAATTGTGTGTTCTTTTCTAACTGGTTGTTCCTAATATAATATTAAAAGTGCCTCCAGGAGAGAAAATAAGACACTCTGTATACGCTAATGTGCTGTAATATAATATGGAACCTTGTCTTGTGCAGTGTACTCCTCTTCCAAGGGGAACAATTACATTCAGTGCAAAGCTACTGAAGTTATTATCTGAAGGCAGCCTGGTCACACCCTACTCATCCTCTCGACTATTCAGAAAGACTGAGCTACAGAATGTTTCGACATTTTATGTCAACGTGTTACAGTTGCAAGATTGCAATCAAACTACAAACAGTAAACTCTTACACTGAAACAAAGACCATTGCCACATGGTTTCTTCTGAATTTAGAAAAAAAAGACGTTAATATGTTACATTCTGACTGACAATATCACTGATCGATACTGTCAAAGGCTTGTTAATGTAAAACAAATTCTCTGAAAGCAAAGCTCCAATACCAGGCTGACAATATCACAAGTATTTTTGCTCACAAAAATACACAATCAATCCACTTTACAATATATCCTGTGAGGACCTTTGAGACATCTCAACGGCGTGGTATGGCGCTATATCAAAATGCAAATATTATTATTACATTATATCTGAAGCAGAGGCAAAGGACTTGCCAGCCTCATATCTTCATGAGAACTTTGATTTCCAGTGTAGGAATACTATCCAGAACAGTGTTAAAACCAATTGCTTTTGGGCCGTCAAATTAAATCAATGCTATAGCATTACCTTAACCTCAGGAGTTTCATTTGTCTAGTACCTGGCAGAGACATGGAAACCCCATTATCAAGTGGCTTGAACCAATCTCACTTTAGGGATTGAATCTCATCCTGGTGCTCAGAAAAACTTCCTGCTGTCTGTCCTGAAATTACCCTTTTGCAACTCTTGCTCTGCTGTTTTGGTGCATCCGGAAGTATTATTCTGGGTTTACTTTCTCAACCCATTTAAAATTCTTCACAAGAATGGTGAACAAGAGCTGGGATTGGTTTAACAGAAGGGTGTTTGAGGCTAGGACACTGGATTTATTCAGGAAAAAGTTTGATGCTGTGATGGGAAGATGATAGGCTTGACATTCTGCAAGGATGAGGTCAAATGGATAAAGGGTCCTCTTTATCCATCGTTCTCGTGTGACAGCACTGAAGTGATGCCTTCTCATGCTCCTGGGCAGCGGTGCATTTAACATCTCACCTGAAGGATGGCACCAGGATAATAAGATTTTAATATCTACGACTGCAATTTTTACATTTTTTAAAATTAATTTACCTAAAGATCAGATCATTCTCACAACTTTCAAAAATGTTTTTATCAAGTGATAGACTACTAGCCAATACAATTGGGTCTGGATGGTTGCCATGGATGCCAAATACTGTCTGACTGGCACCTATCGACTCCAGGCATTACTCAGTCTACTGAGAGGGTCTTTTGACTTTGTAAAGGAGTATTCCTAATCAGACAGGACTGTTCGGACCATCTGTAGTTTTTTGTTTGAAGTGCACCTATAACAGTGGATGCTTTGTACATGGGTTTCAGTGCTGATGATCTTCAAAAGGTATCCTTAGTGACAAAGCTGTGACACATCTTACACGTCTCACATTAATGTGTCCTTCAGAGGTCGGCCCTGTGCTCTGATGTATGTGATAAAGCACCAACATTGCATTCTGAAACTAGATGCAATTTTGATCAAACAATGTCATCTATAATAAACCCCCGTAGATATTCAGCCATAACAAAAATAATCCTTATA